AAAGAAAAAAATTAGAGACCTAGTGCTTCCAAAATGAATCACCCAGAATGAATTACAGAAAATTATATAGCATGAGGAGACAGAAGTTTAACTTCAGGGCCCAACAAGAAACAGGTCCCAAGGCCACATTCCAGACTTGTTGTAATCCCTGGTTAGCTACATACACCCAAGAAGAATGGGCAACAAAGATAAAGGTACTTTACAAAACCTGCAGCCTTGCCTCAAGCCAGATTGGTTCCTGATTAACTCAAGACAATGCTTCTTAAAATATATACTACCTAGGAGGAAAACCTTTTCATAATAATACTAAAGTGCCATTTACCTTCTCAATTTCGTCAGCATTTGCACCAATGGTGCAAAAGCAATGGCAGTTAAAAATGCGGATGCCTTAGCACAAAATAAGGCAGCGGCCTCAAGCTATACTAACCCTCACTTCATTGTAGTCATTGTTTTCTTCACAGCTGCACTTACAATTAAAATGCAATCACAATTCCTAATTGACATTTTTATTTATGATGAAGCAGTAAAAAGTCATTGAGTTTTATTAATTGATCCTTAAAATGACATTTCTTTATGATAATAATGTAACTATTCATAAAGCAATCCTGCTCTCTTCTAAAATATATTAACTTGAGGAGAAAAAAAATCACATTTGTTGTAAGCTGAACTAGATACTTTTTTTCATGGAAAGTCATTTTTTTTAATATATATTTTTATTGATTTCAGAGAGAGGAAGGGAGAAGGAGAGAGAAATAGAGACATCAATGATGAGAGTCGTTGATGGGCTGCCTCCTGCACGCCCCCAGCTGGGGATCGAGCCCGCAACCCGGGCATGTGCCCTGACCGGGAATCAAACCACATCTCCTGGATCCTAGGTTGATGCTCAACTGCTGAGCCACGCCTTCTGGGCTGGAAAGTCATTTTTAAAGGAATCAAAAAAATTTAGAGCAGAGAGAGAATGAAGTAGAAGCTGCATATGAAGCAATAATGGCCAAAAATTTTTCAAAACTAATGTAAAAAATGCTGTAGCACTGGAACAGTAATACAGGGAAATTGAAATATTTTAAAAGTGCAAGTAATACAAAGAGAGAAATTTGAAAGTAGCACAAAAGTAGAATAAATAAACAGCATTGAGTAAAATTATACATATACACCTAACTATATCATTTCTTACATTTACTATAGAGGGAATAATAATCTAAATATTATTTTCAAACTTGAATAAAAAAATACCATATATGTGCTACTTGAAAAAGACATGACTTAAAAGTTAGGACACAGAAACATTGAAGGTAAAATGATCCATCTTGTATAACATGGTAGGAAGAGTGTATTTTTGAGTCTTCACTTTTGGGTCTCCTAAACAGTTTCTTCCTTCTGTATCTGATGTATCCCTTAACTCAACACCATGCTTATAATTCTTTATGAAAATGTTCATAGCTTCTAATTATTTATTTATTCTCTCTATCACTCCCCCCCCCCCCCCATTCCTCCCTCTTCCTCTCAGTTTATTCAGAAACACCAACTTCCTACACCCAGGCTATGATCTATAATCTCCCTAAGAATAGGAGCCAGTCTTTCTTGTTTCTCTAAACCCAGTTTGCACATCTTATCAATTAATAACATCATGTGTGTATATAATGAGCTTTTATTGTGTTTACTATGCATTCCAGGCACAATTCTTAGTGTTTTAAGAATAAAATTTAAAAAATAATAACTTGTCTCTCATAGCAACCTAATGAGGTAGTATCATTTGCATCCCCATTTTACAGTAGAGGAAACTGAAGCAAACAGAAATACCTTTGTCATAGGTGACAGGACTGGCTCCAGGCGCCTGACCCGTGGGTTCAGACCTGACCTGAGTTCCTCAACCTCCATACTTGAGTTCTGGCTGGGAAAGAATTCAGAGCCAAAACTCCAACTATAAGAGAACATTTATTAAATCACAGAGGTATAAAAAGTAATTCCTAGAAGAAATGAGCTTAGCAAACAAGTTATAGAGGCAAAGGAAGGGCCTTGGAGCTTGGGAGTGAGGAAGCTAACACGCCTGGGGATGGGGAGAGGGAAGTGAAGGGAGAGGGAAAGGTGAGGGCTGCTCCCAGGAGGGAGAGTGTCAGGGGTCCTCTGTCCTAAGGGTTTTAAGCCTGGAGACCTTAGGGGAGGTCCCATGGGGAAGATCTCATTATAATATTCAGCAGCTTTCCAGATGTAACTTTTCAGGTTGTGGTCTCCACTGATAGATTGGTCAGTGTCAGAGCAGGGGTGTCGCTATCCAAGGCCGCTTGTCCTGAGGTCAGCTGTGGCTGGTTTTGTTGCTTTTCTGGGCCTGGAGCTGAAATGCAACTGAGGCCCAGATGTTATTTCTAGGGAGGAAAGGTGAGGGGATCCAAACTGCATTACCAGTGGTTTGCTAGGGGAGAAAAGGTCACCCGGGGGACAAGGTCCTACCCTACAATTGTCCTTTGCTAGGCACCTGGGGCTTTCCACCCTAGTGACCTTTTGTACTTGGCTCTGCTCAAGTATGTCTACTAGGCTATCACAACTTGATCAAGGTCACAGGGAGTAGAGACAGAATTATAAACCTAGGCTATCTGGCTGTAAGGCGCCTGCTCTTAACCACTACGCTTTCATTTTCTTACAAACAGATTAACTTCCTGGAACTACTTTGACATAAACTTTCATTTCAGAAGAGGCTTCTGCTTTATATTTGCTTAATTTAAAAACTCACTCAAAAGATTCCAGAGAGAGAGATAGAAAGAGAGAGAGATGAGAAGAGAGATGAGATTGCCCCCCATGGTGCTTATAGATTTCTACCTTTAGAAAAAATACTTGCTGGTTTAAAATGGAAATACGTAAAGGCAGCTATCTTCTAGACTTGAGATTTTAAAAAAGTATTGCTGATTTCATAGAGCTGAAGACAGGGTAACACATCTCTAATTAGATTAGGGAATTTTAAAGACTAGCTCACTACATTTTCTGAATATAACATTTATATCTTGAAAAATTCTCACTAGCTAGTGAAACATTTTTCATTCAGAGCAGTTGAGAGATCTGTCTTTTGAATAATAGTAAACACAGCTCACATTTATTTGAGAATGTCAGAAAACAGTCCAGTTGACAATATTAATAGAGTGGAAAATCTATGATCATCAAAACTTTCCTGTCAAATATGACAACCTTCTAAATTACTTGTCAAAGTTGACCTGCACACATGCTGAGATGAACCAAGTTAGGCAAGTTAACAGTGAGTGTAAAAGTGAGATAAAACTTCGAATTTCCGTGATATCACTGTACGAATCTTGGAATTGAGTAGAGAAAGCAAAGGAAAAGCTTACCTCCTTCTATAACCATCGAAGAATATAAAGCATATTTATACCAATGTGAGAAGTCCTTCGTTCACCTTTTCCCTAAGTCTTCAGGGCTACAAGCACTTAAGAAGAGGAAGCGGGGCCAGGTATGTGTGTTCAACCCATAGAAGAAAGTCATGTCCCTTTACTCTCATCGCCCCTGGGCAAAGGTCCACAGGCGTCGTCTGGGAATCTTCATACCAATCCTTCCTTCCCTTGTCCTCACATTTACCATTAATTGTCTGCAACAATCTGCTTGCTTCACCAGTGGCAAGTTTATGCTTAGTGACCTATGGACTGAATGCTGATCTCAAAGTCCAAAAAATTTATTATTCAAAAATAAAAGAAAAATTATACTGGAAATAATCTTGTACATGCACTTCAAACTTTTCTTTTAGTTAAAAAACACACCACTAAACAGAATGTATTTTTCTTTCTCTGCACTCAGTCAGATCATAGAAAAAATAAATATAGCAAGGAAAGAAAAATTACTAAAAGGGATACTTTTCTGTCAGCCAAGAAGATCGGAAGTCTCTGGGGGTTTCGCTCCTCTCTCCCCTTGGTTGCTTCTGTCATATTTTATAATAAAATATATCACAGAAGTGAAAAAACATACATTGTTTCTTCTGATTTTTGAGAAAAGAAATAGCTAAACTTGATATGATGCTTCAAGAATTACTTAACACATATAATTTCTCTGCTATTTAAAGAAAATAAATACAAGACTACTCTGAATAGAGGTGGTTCATAATTGCAAAGATTCTGATTTAATTTGATTTTAGATTTTGTTCAAGGTGCTTGGTAACCAAAGTAATTCCACCAATCACCAGGAATAAAGGCTTTGAGCCCCAAAACAAAAGGCTCAAAGGCTACTCTGCATCTTCTCTTCTGCTAGTCGATATAATTAGATTATCTATTTGGACTCTTTGATTTTCCTGTATTTACACAAGATCTTCCCCTTTGTTTTCCCTTGAAAAATATTATTATTTTTTATTTCTGTTCACCTTCATTTTACATAGGGAGCATCTGTAAAAAAGAATCTGGAAAACCAAAGATTAGGACCCTAAAAAATATTTAAGCATTTTTTCCTTTCTTTTCTTTTTTTTTAATAAGAAAACTAAAGTACTTCTTTAAAAGCACTACTTTGATATATAGTTGATTTTTCTTTCCTTATAATAATATATGCTTGTTCATAAATTTCATTATAGGAGAGCTCATTCCAAAACTGACCTTTAGTTTTGGCATTCTGTTCTAATCTTATGGTTGCAAAAATGATCATTTTCCTTTCGGTTCAACTGTATGTATTTTAATACACTCTTTAGTCACACTTTGTGCGTGTGTGGGCTTAGAGCTTAATAGTGTACTCAGGCTTGCCATGAGAGTGCCATTAGCCTGAGAATGGCAGAAAAGATATATGATACAAAATTTAGGACAATCCAAACACATGTCACTTGTGGGCAAACTGTTCTATAATATTTTTCCTGATAGAAATTCCACACACTTTTTAAAATGAAAGACTTATGTGACTGTGTGTATTCATTCACTTGTGTACATTTCCTTAAAAGATATTGAAACACTGATTTATTATGATGTATCTTCAGTTGCAATAGATAGTCTACAAATATTCCATTTGCTTAAGGATACACTACAATAAAGACATAAGACTAAACCAATCAGACACAGTTCACATCCAAAACGGAACCATAAAGGACACATTTTGGAACCACAGAAATCATTGTAAATGCTTTGACGGATTGTTTTATATATTTCTAAGAAAATTATTGTATTCATCTAAGATATTTAATCATGAACATATTAAAGAGGAATGATTGTCTATTATATGGAAAGGATGCCTGTAAAAGAAAGCTTTATTGATATAACAAGAAAATAATCTGTCCCCAAAATTATAGAGCAAAACATATAATTTGACATATATTCTCAGAAGTTATAGTTCCATGTTCAAATTCACTGTTTTAAAAATTATTAAGATGTACCTTATGAGCTTACTGTGAGTTGAAAGTATAGTAAGTGTAACAAAATTATACTACTAAGCTACTAACCTTGAGGAATGCCATGAAACTTGCATTCTGCATAGGAGAGGATTCTTAGCCTTACCTTCCAAAGATAAGTGTAAGGCTTCTAATCCTTTAGAAATGATCTGGAAAATGTACTATTAAGCCACCCTCCATGTAAATTCTTAGAGCCATTCATCAGGATCTCATGAGGAGGAGAAAACCATAATGCAATTAAAATCCATGACTTTATGCTATTTGGGACTATACACAATGAAATTTTGGGGTTGTGTGTATATGTGTATGCATCATGTTTACGGGCCTAAAAAACACCTTTTACAGTATTAGGAAATGAAAATTTAAAACATATCTCCATGTTTTAAAACAAATCATTGCAAATCTGTTTCTGAATAACCAATCAAATAGACTCTGCAATGTAAAGAGAAAAACAAATGACCCATTTGAAACATCAATAGAAATGAAATTCTGAAGAAAGACAGAATAAATTAAATATGCTTTTAAAAAATTCTTAAAAGTTTCAAAAAGACTTCCTCATTTGGGTCTCATTACAGTAAGTCCTCACTTAATGTTGTCCATAGGATCTGCAACTGCACACAAACCAACATATAGGCCACCAATTTTACCACAGGCTGAGTAATATAAACAAGAGGTAAGCTCCTATGGCATCTCCTAAACATGAGAGCAAAACAGCATTGAATGAAACATTATGAGAGTGCCTGCTGTACCGAGAAAGCTCAGTCCTAAACTGGGCGACAGGAAGAGCCAGGAGACCAGGGTTCCGATTGCCATTTTACCATTAGTTCACTTTGTCACTTAAAACAAATCAATTAACCTGTCTAAATCGTACCTGCCTCCTCCTTAACATTGGCAAATAGATTAGATGATTTCTATAGTAGCCTCTAGCTCTCTGATTCTGATTACATTCTGGCTTGAGACCAAAAATCTTTATAGCAAGTTAAGAGGCTACCACTTAAAGACACTATGAACTTTTTAAATGATTTTCCTACAAATGTAAGAGAGGCAGAAGCTTGAAGGCGGTAGAATGAAAGTTCTGCTTCCTCACAGTGCCGCGTGGTTCATTTCCTCGCTTCAGCCGGGGCTCTGCGAAATATCCCCTCCTCAAAAAGACTTTCCTGAAACAACCCCTGTGACAACTCACCCATTGTTCTCTGCACGTTAATATCTAAAATTTTTCATTCTAGTGTCCCTTGCTACCAGATATTTTACATTTTTTAATATTTTGGATGTTTATAAACCCCCCAGAAATATAAACTCCAGAAGAGCAGCTTTGCCTTGTTTTAATTCCATGGAAGTTCTTCCAACAGAATGGAGCTTGGTATACAGACGGAGCCCGGTGAAAGTTTGTTGACTGAATGGTTGAGGCTTTGGACAAGTGGATCCATAGGACTGGACCACAGAGGTGCGTTAACACTGTGTAGAAGAGAATGAGGCTGGAAAGTAAGCAGGAACATGGTCAGGGGAGGGTTGATACAACATTCTAGTTAGGGTTGTCTAATAGAATTTTCTGTGATGATGGGAATATTCTTGATTGGTTCTGTCCAATTCTGTATGTAGTCACTAGCCCTGAAATGAGGCTGTGATTGAGGAACTTGATTTCTTTTATTTACTTTTAATTCATTTTACATTTAAATGTAAAGAGCCTCATATGGTTAGTCACTACTGTATGAAGTTGTGCAGTTTTTAAGGAACTAGAAACTGATTCCAAAAACAAAAAGCCACGCAAGTTTTTGTAGCAAAAATAAATAAATAAATAAATAATAGCACAAGAACTATATTTTTGAAAAGTGATACCGAAAGTAATCGTTTTTGAATGAATTGGAGTAAAGGAAAACTGGAAAGCAAAATAGCTAGCTAGAAACTGGTAAGAATTTGTGTACTAGGAATGGAGGACCTGACTTAGAGCAGTGACAATATGAATGGAAGGAGAAGAAATGATTAGGAAACATCGGAGGTCAAATCCACAGGATTTTGATGTTGTAACTGTGAATGACCCCATGTTTGCTGCCGTAGATGATTTGATAGATATCAATGTCACTAGCAAAAGGCCCGAGGTAGTGGAGAAAAGGCACACTGGTATTAAGGACGTTCACTGATAAAAATTCAGCTCATTTTGAATACTTTTTAAATCCAGATACCTAAATCATAATTATGTTCCAAAAATCAAATGCATATATGAAAAAAAATTATTGCTTTCTTATTTGCTTCAAAAACAAGTACAAGAAAGTTTGTAGTCAATTTAAAGTTGACATTAAATTGAGACTTTTAATATTGAATATACATATGTGTGTGTGTATGTGTGTGTGTATTTGTAAAAGCATATACAAAATAAATTCAAAATGGATAAAAGACTTAAATGTAAGACATGAAACCATAAAAATCCTTGAAGAAAACATAGGAGCAAAATCTCAGACATCTCACATANGTGTGTGTGTGTGTGTTTGTAAAAGCGTATACAAAATAAATTCAAAATGGATAAAAGACTTAAATGTAAGACATGAAACCATAAAAATCCTTGAAGAAAACATAGGAGCAAAATCTCAGACATCTCACATAGCAGAATGTTCACCGATACATCGCCTAGGGCAAGAGAAACAAAAGGAAAAATAAACAAAAGGGACTACATCAAACTAAAAAACTTGTGCACGGCAAAATAAACCATCCTCAAAATGCAAAGGGAATTGTATGGGAGAACACATTTGCCAAAGATACATGTATAGTTTGAAAAATAACTTAAGATTTAAGATGTTGTCAAATGAAACCACTCTGTTCCTCATCTTCATGCAAAGCCACCTGGGGCAAACAGGCACACACTTTTTTTTTTTTTAATGGAGGAATACATTTTTATTCTAAGTTCACCTCTGCACAGTGAAACCCTTTCTATCACAGCACAAGGAAGACTTCTCCCATATTGGCAACTGTTTTTATATGGTTGGCAGGTTTCAATGGGTCTGAACATGAATAAAATCTAGCTACTCCACTGGATGAAAAGCTCACAAACTTCCTCTTTTAAAGATGAAGTAGAAAATAACTGTCAGATGTAAGAAAGCCAAAGAGTGATTTAATATTTCATCAACAAAGAAGCCTTGACCCTTATTTGCACCATTGAAATCTTAATATAACAAAGTCATATAATGGGACAGTCAGAATTTAGAAGCAAATAAAATCCCTTGGCAGACTGAGGACTTTTGCCATCTGTATTTCAAAGCAGAAGGAAACATTCTTTGCATTCAGACTCTGGAATAAGCATACTAAAGTCAAAGGTGTATTTATATACCCCAAGCTAAGTGAAAATGAAAAGAAATGTTTGCAGGACTCATGTTCTGGATAAAACTGCCTATATTTTGAGAAATTCCACTCCTTATGGACTCCTGGTGACTACAACAACAGGAAATGGAGCCAAAGAGACTCAAAATAAATTGAAAAGCACAATTTTATGGGAATTTCCCAACACTCAATAGAATGATAATATAATTTACACAGATTTCAATATATATCAACTAAGAGAATATATATTTAGACAACAGGGACATGATAGAATATAATTCATCTGAGAGACTGACACATAATAGTCACCTTTTCTATTCATCTTCTGAGAGAGATAAGATTATAATTACAAAGCACATGAAATTATTTTAAAGATGTGTATGTTAGGATTTCAAATTTAGGAACTACTGAAAATTTTCAAAATGAGAAATACTGAGAGGCAAACATAGGTAGGATCATGTGTGGAAGATAGCTTACTGCTTAGTCATTAATACTAGCGTGGTAGGTTCAGGCTTATTTTGAATAACTAAATTTTCATTAAAATTCAGTATTATATGGATAATACCATAATTTCTAAGAATTCATTAAGCAACAAATTGTTCATAGCCTTATGCTAGAAGGCAAATCGGATTAGAAAATCTCAGAACTGTGAGCACAGGTATTGGATGATTCTTTATGAGACACTGAAGTTTCAAAATTTTCCTCAAAATTTATCAGTTCATTACTATATGGACATCTCTTTGTGTCATCAGGATCAAAAGATCTACATTGCCACTTTTCCCCCACTTCCCTTGTCTGTGCCACGACCTCAGAGATGCTAGTAGCCTTCATCATCGGTTTGGATTTAGTAGAAGTGTTTGGAGTCTGTTTTTAAAGAATAATTCCTGAGGTATAAGGTTGGAAGTTATCCCATTACAAACATATAAATCTGATTTTCAAGGTTTTAAAGCAATAAATCTTAATGTATTCTAAAACTGTATTAGCTTAACTGAAAATAAATATATTCTTAGGAATGAACTTTCAAAAAGGCAACCCTGGTCTAATCTGTTGCAGACAAATGGTAAATGAACTTCCTCAACTGGATCTTTTTTTTTTCTTATCTTGCTCCCATTGCCCTTATTTCACTTATCTAACATACAAGTTTAAAAGCAAACAAAGAAGAAAGTCGACTTGTCTAAGCAAGTTGTCCTCTGAAGATCTCTATGACTCACCCAAAAAATTCTACAAAAGGAAAGAAAATATATTACATTCAACTAATGTGTAAAACAACAGAAATAACTTTTGAAAGGATAATAAATGTAAATATCTTTTTAATATGGATAAGGCAAGAATGTTCATAGGAAGAAATTTGAAAGTATTTTAAATTAGATCAGGGCTATTTAATTTATTTTTAAATTGGCAATATTTAAAATAAGTGAATTTGTAGCTTTAAAGTTTGAAATTGCATTTAAGGAAAGATATTAAAGGAATGTGGAAAAAATCACACTTGAATACATATTTTAACTCTTAACTTCCTCGCTTGTCCTTTAGTATGTTATGTAATGCCCCTGAATCTCATAATTTTCATCAATAAAATCATCATAATTATATCTGTATTTATAGCTTTCATGAGATAGTTGCAATGTCATATGTGAAAGATTAGGCCAAAGAGTAAATTTTCCATGTAGTCAGATACCTAACTAACAGAAAGTGTGACCAATATTGAATGACTGGGGAGATTCTTCATCCAAAGCAGTCAGAGCAAAACCAATTTCAAAGCCAACCCTCTTTAGTCCATATTTATTGGGTAACTAAGACCCATCATAAATAAACCTCCCAAGAAGATGAAAATGAGCAAATTAAGACTGGTCTGCAAGTTAACCTGAAAAACATTAGGGACATTTAAGTGAAAACTACCATGGAATTTGACTGCACACCTATGAACCTATCAAATAACTAAAATTTCAGCCAACACCATGTGCTATAAAGTATGTGAGAGCAATGGGAACTCATAAACTTCTGATGAGAGGTACATTGCTACAATCGCTTTGAAATACTGTCATCATCTAGCAAGCATATATATCACATAAAGCTGCGGAGTTATGCTAGCATAAATATACAAAAATGCTCATAACAACTGTGCTTGTAATAGCCAATAAAAAAATAACATAACAAAGACATGCAATAAAATTAAAATTTATAACTAAGTTGTAAAGAAAACAAATTAACTACAGCCACCCTCAAGGAAATATAAGAATCTTATGAAATAATATTTATTTTTAAAAGCATAACAAAATAAACTATATAATAATGTTTAATTTATATGAAATTCAAAAACATGTAAATTTGTATTATCTTGCTACATGAGCAGCAAAATTTTAAAGAAAAGTAATTGCCGTAAAGTCAGGATGATTCTAGTGAACAGGGATAGGGAGATGATCATTAAAGAAAACCATGCACTTTCAGAGTGCTGGGGTGGTGGTTTATAATTATTAACACTATCGTGCATTATGTATTATGTATTTTCTGTACTTTTGTTATATTTCACAATTTTAACCTGTTTTTAAAATTTTAGCCATGCTTACTGTAGTGGACTGAGTCCTCCCAAAAGACATGTCCACCCAGAACTTCAGAATGTGATCTTATTTGGAATAAGGGTTTTGCTAATGTAATTAAGATAAGGGTCTCTAGAGACCATCTGGATTAAGGTGGGTCTTAATTCCAATGACAAGCGTCCTTATAAGAGACAGAAAAAGAGAAGAGATACAGAGACACAAGGCAAAAGGCCTTGGGACGATGGAGGTGGCGACTGGAGTTATGTTGGCACATGCCAAGGAAAACCGTGATAAGCAAGGAAGGATTCTTCCCTTAAAGCTTTTGGATGGATATCTGACTTTGAATATCTGGTCTCCAAAACTGTGAGAGAACAAATATATGTTGTTTTAAGCTGCCAAGTTTGTGGTAATTTGTTACAGTAGAACTAAGAATCTAATAAAGCCTGGCCGGCATGGCTCAGTTGTTGAGCGTTGACCCATGAACCTGGAGGTCATGGCTCTGTTCCAGGTGAGGGCACATGCCCAGGTTGTGGGCTCAACCCCCAGAAGGGGGCATGCAGGAGGCAGTCGATCAGTGACTCTCATTGCTGATGTTTCTATCTCCCTCTTCCTCCCTCTCTCTGAAATAAATA